CCAGCAGGTCACCGATTGGACGACGTCCAGGCCGTGCGGCGTCACCTGATGAGGCGGAGCTCCAGAGGGCCAATCAGAGATCAGAGCAGAGATCAGACGGGGGTCCGGACGCCGGCTCACCTGCAGCCGGACAGAACCCCCCACGAGGTCAGAGCGTCTCTTATGTTGTTCAGCAGGGTACCACCTGAGACGTGAGACCCCACCTCATGTTAGAAATGTTCAGCAGGGTACCATCTGAGACGTGAGACCCCACCTCATGTTAGAAATGTTCAGCAGGGTACCACCTGAGACGTGAGACCCCACCTCATGTTAGAAATGTTCAGCAGGGTACCATCTGAGACGTGAGACCCCACCTCATGTTAGAAATGTTCAGCAGGGTACCATCTGAGACGTGAGACCCCACCTCATGTTAGAAATGTTCAGCAGGTTACCATCTGAGACGTGAGACCCCATCTCATGTTAGAAATGTTCAGCAGGGTACCACCTGAGACGTGAGACCCCACCTCATGTTAGAAATGTTCAGCAGGGTACCACCTGAGACGTGAGACCCCATCTCATGTTAAAAATGTTCAGCAGGGTACCATCTGAGACGTGAGACCCCACCTCTTGTTAGAAATGTTCAGCAGGGTACCATCTGAGACGTGAGACCCCACCTCATGTTAGAAATGTTCAGCAGGGTACCATCTGAGACGTGAGACCCCACCTCATGTTAGAAATGTTCAGCAGGGTACCATCTGAGACGTGAGACCCCACCTCATGTTAGAAATGTTCAGCAGGGTCTCCAGAACATAGAAGCTGCCGGATGCTGACATTTCAGTTTGAACCAGAAGGTGGAGACAGCTGTGCTCCTGGTGGACGGATTTGGATGGATTTTGGGCCGATTTGAAGGTTTTAGGGAACTGAAAACTCCCATGTTTGGCCAAAATGTTAGAAAATGATTCAAGATCCTCAATTACCTCCAGATCTGCCAAGAAACGTTGAACTACTGTCCCCATATGCATGCAACTTGTGCTAAATGTGTAAATGTCCCAACATGCAGGTTAGCATCCAGCAGTCTCAATGAGCTGGAGACCCTACTCTACATTTCTATCAGAACACTCTGGGGTCTCAACATGTCTCTCTGCTGGTAGACTCGATCTGACAGGCCTGTGGTTCAGACTGTCCCCACACAGGAAATAACAAACTTCCACGTGAACAGATTCCTCCTCAGGAGAATCTGGATCACACAGAAAGGTCCTGTATTCATCAGAGGTGGAAAGGTCTTCAGATTCAGGACTAATACCACACTGTACAAATACTCAGGTAAAAGTAAAAGTACTACATCGAGACAGTACGATGAGGAAAATGCACTTAAAGTATTAGGAGTACTCAATGCAGTAAAAAAATAGATTAGATTAATTAATTCCTAATCCAAGTTCTACAACAATCTCAATAATCCTCTTTAACTCCTGAAAATATCCCACGAAAAAGAGATGTAATGGAAGTGTGTGCACTGATTTCACGTTCAGTTGATTTCAGCTCCAGGTGATTTCAGCTCCATGTGATTTCAGCTCCATGTGATTTCAGCTCCATGTGATTTCAGCTCCAGGTGATTTCAGCTCCATGTGATTTCAGCTCCATGTGATTTCAGCTCCAGGTGATGTCAGGGTTCAGGTGATTTCAGGGTTCAGTTGATTTCAGGTCCATGTGATTTCAGGGTTCAGTTGATTTCAGGTCCAGGTGATTTCAGGTCCAGGTGATTTCAGGTCCATGTTATTTCAGCTCCAGGTGATTTCAGCTCCAGGTGATTTCAGGGTTCAGTTGATTTCAGGTCAAGGTGATTTCAGGTCCAGGTGATTTCAGGGTTCAGGTGATTTCAGGTCCAGGTGATTTCAGGTCCATGTGATTTCAGGGTTCAGGTGATTTCAGGTCCATGTGACTTCAGCTCCAGGTGATTTCAGCTCCAGGTGATTTCAGGTCCATGTGATTTCAGGGTTCAGGTGATTTCAGGTCCATGTGATTTCAAGTTTAGGTGATTTCAGCTCCAGGGCCCAGTAGTTCAAAGCTTGTAATCCCTATCTGATGGGATCAGATTTGGATTTTTGGTAGTTCAAAACCAAAAAACAGGATTCGGATCACTTTGATATCCGATCAGATCAGGAAATCAAATCCAAGCTTTAATCTGGATCAAATCTTCAAAATGGGTTGTTCAAACCGACAACACAGGATTGGGATCAGTTTGATCCCGAAAAACTGGATTATCCTGATCCCACCAGAGGGGTGGATTTCCAGTGGATTACCAGAGCAAAATTGTACAATTTATTTAAAAATATGTTTCAATATAAATAAGATGGCAAAGTTTGTTAACTGAACACCATTTTTAGCCTTCATGGCAAATACATTTTATTTTTCATTTTTTGCTCACATTTGTGGTGGCCTATTTTGTTTTCAACCAAATGTTGATGATATAAATATTTATGCTCATCAAAATATCACAACAAAGATTGTCAATCACAAATGTAATTTAGATTAAAGAAAAAATATATTCAACAAAAAAAAAGTCCATCATCTGTCATCACCTTTCAAAAGTAAGTGCGGACAATAGATGTCTCTGCAATGTGGTCTCTTGTCTTCCTTGTATTATTTTTCATATCCACTAGATGGAGATCGGTAGGATTAAAGCACTGATATTCAGGATCTAGTAATCTTGAAAAGTCGTAATCTGGATCAGGGTGATCCTATCCTGAATTGCTTTGAACTACAGGGACACAATCTGGCAGACTTGTCTGATCCTGGATCACAGAAAATGGGATTTCAAAATCTGATCGGATCTGATTGAGATTAAAAGTTTTGAACTACTGGGCCCAGGTGATTTCAGGTCCAGGTGATTTCAGGTCCAGGTGATTTCAGGTCCAGGTGATTTCAAGTTTAGGTGATTTCAGGTCCAGGTGATTTCAGCTGATTTCAAGTTTAGGTGATTTCAGGTCCAGGTGATTTCAGGTCCAGGTGATTTCAAGTTCAGGTGATTTCAGGTCCACGTGATTTCAGGGTTCAGGTGATTTCAGGGTTCAGGTGATTTCAGGTCCAGGTGATTTCAGGTCCAGGTGATTTCAGGTGATTTCAAGTTTAGGTGATTTCAGGTCCAGGTGATTTCAGGTCCAGGTGATTTCAGGTCCAGGGGATTTCAGGTGATTTCAAGTTTAGGTGATTTCAGGTCCACGTCATTTCAGGGTTCAGGTGATTTCAGGTTCAGGTGATTTCAGGTCCAGGGGATTTCAGGTGATTTCAAGTTTAGGTGATTTCAGGTCCACGTCATTTCAGGGTTCGGGTGATTTCAGGTTCAGGTGATTTCAAGTTTAGGTGATTTCAGGTCCAGGTGATTTCAGGTGATTTCAAGATTAGGTGATTTCAGGTCCAGGTGATTTCAGGGTTCAGGTGATTTCAGGGTTCAGGTGATTTCAAGTTTAGGTGATTTCAGGTCCAGGTGATTCCAGGTCCAGGTGATTTCAGGTGATTTCAAGTTTAGGTGATTTCAGGTCCAGGTGATTTCAGGTCCAGGTGATTTCAGGTCCAGGGGATTTCAGGTGATTTCAAGTTTAGGTGATTTCAGGTCCACGTCATTTCAGAGTTCAGGTGATTTCAAGTTTAGGTGATTTCAGGTCCAGGTGATTTCAGGTCCACGTGATTTCAGGTCCAGGTGATTTCAGGTCCACGTCATTTCAGGGTTCAGGTGATTTCAGGTTCAGGTGATTTCAAGTTTAGGTGATTTCAGGTCCAGGTGATTTCAGGTGATTTCAAGATTAGGTGATTTCAGGTCCAGGTGATATCAGGTCCAGGTGATTTCAAGTTTAGGTGATTTCAGGTCCAGGGGATTTCAGGTGATTTCAAGTTTAGGTGATTTCAGGTCCACGTCATTTCAGGGTTCAGGTGATTTCAAGTTTAGGTGATTTCAGGTCCAGGTGATTTCAGGTCCACGTGATTTCAGGTCCAGGTGATTTCAGGTCCAGGTGATTTCAGGTGATTTCAAGTTTAGGTGATTTCAGGTCCACGTGATTTCAGGGTTCAGGTGATTTCAGGTTCAGGTGATTTCAAGTTTAGGTGATTTCAGGTTCAGGTGATTTCAGGTCCAGGTGATTTCAGGTGATTTCAAGTTTAGGTGATTTCAGGTCCACGTGATTTCAGGGTTCAGGTGATTTCAGGTTCAGGTGATTTCAAGTTTAGGTGATTTCAGGTGCAGGTGATTTCAGGTCCAGGTGATTTCAGGTCCAGGTGATTTCAGGTTCAGGTGATTTCAGGTCGGTCCAGGTGATTTCAGGTCCAGGTGATTTCAGGTCCGGGTGATTTCAGGTCCGGGTGATTTCAGGTCCGGGTGATTTCAGGTTCGGGTGATTTCGGCCTGATCGGACTCTGTGCTGTTGGACGACTGAACAATAGAAATGTCATAAAAGAGGAGGAAAGACGAGCTGAGAGTCTGTTAATCCTGGAGAGCTGTGAGGAGAATGGGAGGCAAATTGGATTTATTCAGAGTTCACTTTACCTGTGTGACGTACAGGTGGAGCCACGCAGGTAGAGAGGTGGAGACACACAGGTAGAGAGGTGGAGACACACAGGTAGAGACACACAGGTGAGACACACAGGTAGAGACTCAGGTAGAGACACACAGGTAGAGACACAGGTAGAGAGGTGGAGACACACAGGTGGAGACACACAGGTAGAGACACAGGTAGAGACTCAGGTAGAGACTCAGGTAGAGACAGACAGGTGAGACACACAGGTGAGACACTCAGGTGAGACACGCAGGTGAAGTGGGAGGTGTGTGTGTTCTGGGCTCGGTGTGTTGGGTCTGCAGGATGGTGGGTCTGGATCTGAAGCGTGGACACAGACAGGTGAGCTCGTTAACCTGCTCCAGGCCGGGTCACTTGACCTGTTTCACTTCTGACAGCATTTAGCCTTACATGTATTTTGTCACGATTTGAAGTTCACCTTTGTTTTGATATTAGAATCAGAACCAGGTTTATAGCCAGGTGCGTTCACACATACAAGGAATCTGCGTTGGTCTAAACAATCTAAACAAATAAGTTGCAAAGTAGGTAAAAAAAAAAAGGAAATATATAAGGATACTAAAAACTAAGTATTTTTAAGAAACAATTTAGCATTTAAAAACGATGCTACAGACAAGTATTTACACCAATTTTAATGTAACTATATAAATAACCGTAAAAGCTAAAAAACGTAAACACTTAGGACACTGAGTGTATACGGCAAAGTGTATTATATGGTTCTGGTTTCTGGTCCACTTTGGTCTGGTCACAGAGTGGTTCAGTTCCAGTGGAGGTCAGTCAGGAAGGGTTCATGTCAGACCGGTTGATAGAAATATAAAAACAGATTTCACCCTCAGCAGACCCTCTTGTTGTTACTGGGAATCAAGCTATATTTATAAATCAGCTGCTGATGGAAAGGGAGAGTGAATGTTTCATTCAGGATATTTAATTGTATTAATTGTATTAATTGTATTAATTTTATTAATTTTATTAATTTATTAATTTGACAGGGACAGTGCACATTGATTGACATTTCTGTAAATGCGCTAGAGTTAGCCAACAGGCTATTTTACATCTGTAGTCCCTGGACAGATGTTGAAAGTCATCCTAAAAAAAAATGTCACTTCAAATGACAGGTAAATAAAATCAGTAAAACAACATTCAACATAGATGCTTATATTATGATAAAAGCATATAGGAAAACATAAAAACTAAACTAAAAAACATATTCCCAAAGCAGACGGATAGCAACAGGTCAAGGCACATGTACAAACAGAGCGTTGTAAAGTGCACATTGTGTCAGTGTTGACAGAGCTGATTTTCCACTAACCATGTTTTTAAGTTAGATTTGAATAAACTGCAGGTGTTTTGTTCTCTAATCTTTACTGGGATTGAGTTCCACTGTTGTGCAGCTTTAAAAGAAAAAGAAGATTGGCTGAATGAACTCTTCCTTAATGGAACAACGCAGTCTCCTCTGGTTGCAGCTCTTGTTGACCTAGTTACAGGTGTGCGTATAGTGATAACATGTATGAGCGGAGGTGAGGTAAGGCCGTGTATTATTTTGTACATGAGGCAAGCATTTGCATATCTCATTACATTTTCTCAGCTCAACAAGTTGTACTTTGTGAGTATTGGGCAATGATGAGAATGAACTGACATATCTTTATTAACGGGACATCATCATGTTAACCCAAACCAGTTCCTCTCTGAAGCTGCGCTGTTTTTACATATGAACGTGAGGAGATACAGGTCTGAGATCAGGTCACATAAAGACCAGGGCAAAGCGACCCTACAAACTGCTATGAATCCATTTAAGGTCAAATCACCTCAAGAGAGGGACGTTTCCATATCAGTGCCAGTTAAGCCCTGAGCCTGTTTTTCAGGTTTCAGGCTCGAAAATGACATGCCCAGAACAAATGACTATAACTTCACTTCTAAAAGGGTTACATTAATAATCTTTTTTCTCAAAGCAAGGTTACATCTGTGAGTTGGATGTAGAAGTGTCAGAATCAATATAGATGTTTCTGTGTCAGAGTAAATTCAGATGGAACATTGTAAAAAAAGGTAAATTCTTACCTCCGCCTAAAAAAAAAACATTACTTATAGTGAAAACCACCCTTGAATGATGGGATGGTAGACTAAAAGCTTTAGGAATCCAAACTACAACATATAATAAGTACCCTGTATCAAGATTGATGCAACACAAGTGACATTTGACCTTTTTAGAGAGATTTATAAAAATAAAAATAATATGAAATCTCCGTTTTTTACATAAAAATGCAATGATGGATTATCAGTAATCCTTTCAAAGTGACACAGACACATTGGATTAACCTATGGATTAACCTTCAGCGGCGTGTTTATCATTTTAATGCCATTGATCACGACTATTGATCAGAATAACAGCTAATTTGAGACGATTTCCCGTGAATGTTCCGTAATTCACGTGTTGTGACGTCTGTGTTTGCTTCCCCTGTCACGAGTTCTGATCGCTCAGTGATGATACTTATACCTATAGAATCTGTGGAATCTCAGCTTTAATCTTAATTAATATCTTGTTTTTGCAGTTACGATAAGTAATAAGGGTATTTTTACCTTGAGTTCTGTGGTAAGTGTGTTAGCATTTTTTCGCTCAGGGCTCATTTAGACGCTTCTTGTGAGACTTGTGTTTGGTTTCTGCAAAAATGGTTCGTATTGTCAGTTAGCTGAGTTTCTTCCCGTTAAATGGCTATGACACATTAATAGGTTTTTAAATATTAAGAAGCCCTGAGACACAGTTTCGTGAAAAAACACCCCACTGCCCCCTGTACAGGGGGCTCTAGGGCTTAACAGGTTAAAAACACAGCTCGTGAGTTTTAACCTCCACTTATTATTTGCAGCTGTGTTATATAAGTCTCAAGGGCAATGTGTTTAATGTTCACAGATATTCACCTTAACATAAAACACCTTTCATATGAATTCATTATTAAAAATAGAGATTGTTTTCTGTAGATCGACAGAAAAATGTGTGTGTGTGTGTGTGAGTGTGTGTGTGTCCTCATAAGCAGTGTGTGTGTGTGTGCAGGTGTTCGTGGAGCTGAACGAGCTGGTGATCGACAGGAACCAGGAGCTGCAGTGGAGGGAGACGGCTCGATGGATAAAGTTTGAGGAAGAGGTGGAGGAGGAGACGGAGCGATGGGGGAGACCTCACATCGCCTCGCTCTCCTTCAGATCCCTGCTGGAGCTCCGGAAGACCATCTCCCATGGTGAGGAGCCCTCTGACGCCCCCTGTGGACACTCTCACTGCACTGTGACACTCTCACTGCACTGTAACTCACAGTGCACTGTAACACTCACACTGCACTGTGATACTCACAGTGACACTCACACTGCACTGTGACACTCACACTGCACTGTAACACTCACACTGCACTGTAACACTCTCACTGCACTGTAACACTCTCACTGCAGTGTGAGTGTCACAGTGCAGTGTGAGTGTCACTGTGAGTGTCACAGTGCAGTGTGAGTGTCACTGTGAGTGTCACAGTGCAGTGTGAGTGTCACAGTGCAGTGTGAGTGTCACAGTGCACTGAGAGTGTCACAGTGCAGTGAGAGTGTCACAGTGCAGTGTGAGTGTCACAGTGCACTGTGAGTGTCACAGTGCAGTGTGAGTGTCACAGTGCAGTGTGAGTGTTACAGTGCAGTGAGAGTGTCACAGTGCAGTGTGAGTGTCACAGTGCAGTGTGAGTGTCACAGTGCAGTGTGAGTATCACAGTGCAGTGTGACACTCACACTGCAGTGAGAGTGTTACAGTGCAGTGTGACACTCTCACTGCAGTGTGACACTCTCACTGCAGTGTGAGTGTCACACTGCAGTGAGAGTGTCACAGTGCAGTGTGAGTATCACAGTGCAGTGTGACACTCACACTGCAGTGAGAGTGTCACAGTGCAGTGAGAGTGTCACAGTGCAGTGTGAGTGTCACAGTGCAGTGTGAGTGTCACAGTGCAGTGTGAGTGTCACTGTGAGTGTCACAGTGCAGTGTGAGTGTCACAGTGCAGTGTGAGTGTCACAGTGCACTGAGAGTGTCACAGTGCAGTGTGAGTGTCACAGTGCAGTGTGAGTGTCACAGTGCAGTGTGAGTGTCACAGTGCAGTGTGAGTATCACAGTGCAGTGTGACACTCACACTGCAGTGAGAGTGTCACAGTGCAGTGTGAGTGTCACAGTGCAGTGTGAGTGTCACAGTGACACTCACACTGCACTGTGACACTCACACTGCACTGTGACACTCTCACTGCACTGTAACACTCACACTGCATTGTGACACTCACACTGCAGTACAATTTGTGGGCCATATTCCATTATACTTTTTTAATTAGCTGAGGGCCGATTCAAAATGGTGCGCGGGCCGTAGTTTGGACACCCCTGAGTTAACCTCTCTCTGGAGTTATGTGTACCTCTCTGGAGTTATTTGTACCTCTCTGGAGTTATTTGTACCTCTCTGGAGTTATTTGTACCTCTCTGGAGTTATGTGTACCTCTCTGGAGTTATTTGTACCTCTCTGGAGTTATACCTCTCTGGAGTTATACCTCTCTGGAGTTCTTTGTACCTCTCTGGAGTTATACCTCTCTGGAGTTATTTGTACCTCTCTGGAGTTCTTTGTACCTCTCTGGAGTTATTTGTACCTCTCTGGAGTTATTACCTCATGAAACCGATGGCTGTGCTTCCAGGCGCCGTGCTGCTGGACCTGAAGCAGAAGACGCTGCCAGGTATCGCTCAGCAGGTGGTCGAGCAGATGGTGATCTCAGATCTGATCAAAGCTGAAGACAGAGCCAACGTCCTGGGAGTTCTGCTGCTCAGACACAGGTTCAGCATGATCACGTGACCCAGAGCACATCCAATCAGTCATCAGTGGATATCACATGTGTATTCTCTTTCCTCCCCAGTCACCCCAGTGATGAGAAGGACCACAGCCTGTTCAGTAAAAACATCTCTGCAGCCAACATGGACGCCCTGATTGACTGCCACAATGGCCAATCAGAGCCCTCCATCCATCTGACCAATCACAGAGAGGCTGACGGGGAAAAGAGCAAGGTGAAAACTTTAACCGTTTATCAAACATTGTGTGCACATCTCTCCCAAAATCTGATAATTTAAAATCATTTCTGAAGTAAATCTCTCCAGTTTGTGTTAACCACAGACCTCAGTTCAGGATAACCAAAAACACATTCAGAAAACCATTGACCTCCAGACCAGGAAGTGATGCTGACTCAGGGTTCAGGACTCATAACGCTGACTCATGTCAGGGTTTAGGACTCATAATGCTGACTCATGTCAGGGTTTAGGACTCATAATGCTGACTCATGTCAGGGTTCAGGACTCATAATGCTGACTCAGGGTTTAGGACTCATAATGCTGACTCATGTCAGGGTTTAGGACTCATAATGCTGACTCATGTCAGGGGTTAGGACTCATAATGCTGACTCATGTCAGGGTTCAGGACTCATAATGCTGACTCAGGGTTTAGGACTCATAATGCTGACTCATGTCAGGGTTTAGGACTCATAATGCTGACTCATGTCAGGGTTCAGGACTCATAATGCTGACTCAGGGTTTAGGACTCATAATGCTGACTCATGTCAGGGTTTAGGACTCATAATGCTGACTCATGTCAGGGGTTAGGACTCATAATGCTGACTCATGTCAGGGTTCAGGACTCATAATGCTGACTCAGGGTTTAGGACTCATAATGCTGACTCATGTCAGGGTTTAGGACTCATAATGCTGACTCATGTCAGGGGTTAGGACTCATAATGCTGACTCATGTCAGGGTTTAGGACTCATAATGCTGACTCATGTCAGGGTTCAGGACTCATAATGCTGACTCATGTCAGGGTTTAGGATTCATAATGCTGACTCATGTCAGGGTTCAGGACTCATAATGCTGACTCATGTCAGGGTTTAGGACTCATAATGCTGACTCATGCCAGGGTTTAGGACTCATAATGCTGACTCATGTCAGGGTTCAGGACTCATAATGCTGACTCAGGGTTTAGAACTCATAATGCTGACTCAGGGTTTAGGACTCATAATGCTGACTCAGGGTTTAGAACTCATAATGCTGACTCAGGGTTTAGGACTCATAGTGCTGACTCATGTCAGGGTTCAGGACTCATTCCTGCAGCTTTCTATGTGTAAACATGTGTGTGTTTTCAGAACGAGGCGCTGCCCGTCACTCAGTCCAGATCCAAGCACGAGGTGAAGCTGATGGAGAAGATCCCGGAGCGAGCCGAGGCCACGGTGGTGCTCGTTGGTACGAATCCTCCTCTCTGGGGAGATATGTTCCTGACCCTCTGACCCAGTGTATCAGTGTGTCCTCACTGAGCAGCTGCACCTTGAGCTGCTCTCAGTGTCTCTCTGCTCCTCCTGCTGGCGTCAGCTGATAGAGGTTATAGTGATGTATCTTGTTATGCAGCATGTTGATTATTCAGCTAAATACATGGGTCTGGGGTAGAGATCTTCAGAAACACAGAACATCTCTTGGGAATTCTCCGGCCACAGCTCCAAATAATCCATCAGTGTTTCCATCAAAGTTCCTGCTCTCTCATGTGTTCCTCATGGAGCTTCAGTGGGTTAACGTCCCTCTGCTGTGTCTTCAGGCTCAGTGGGTTAACGTCCCTCTGCTGTGTCTTCAGGCTCAGTGGGTTAACGTCCCTCTGCTGTGTCTTCAGGCTCAGTGGGTTAACGTCCCTCTGCTGTGTCTTCAGGCTCAGTGGGTTAACGTCCCTCTGCTGTGTCTTCAGGCTCAGTGGGTCAACGTCCCTCTGCTGTGTCTTCAGGCTCAGTGGGTTAACGTCCCTCTGCTGTGTCTTCAGGCTCAGTGGGTTAACGTCCCTTTGCTGTGTCTTCAGGCTCAGTGGGTTAACGTCCCTCTGCTGTGTCTTCAGGCTCAGTGGGTTAACGTCCCTCTGCTGTGTCTTCAGGCTCAGTGGGTTAACGTCCCTCTGCTGTGTCTTCAGGCTCAGTGGGTTAACGTCCCTTTGCTGTGTCTTCAGGCTCAGTGGGTTAACGTCCCTCTGCTGTGTCTTCAGGCTCAGTGGGTTAACGTCCCTCTGCTGTGTCTTCAGGCTCAGTGGGTTTCCTGGAGCAGCCCTCCATGGCGTTTGTCCGGCTGCAGGAGGCGGTCCTGCTGGACTCTGTCCTGGAGGTCCCGGTCCCCGTGAGGTTCCTGTTTCTCCTGCTCGGCCCCCCCACCGCCAACATGGACTACCACCAGATCGGACGCTCCATCTCCACGCTCATGTCCGACAAGGTGAGTCCTGCAGAGCTAAAACCAAACATATGCCGTTAATAATGTGCAATATATACCTGGCTGCTAAATCCTCAGAACTGTTACAGGATGTGTTTTTTGTAAATTGTGTAACTTTTTTAATTATAATTTTCATTTCAATCTTTAATATTGTGTTTGTATGCATGCTACTCAGGTAACATGTTAGCACCTGTTAGCCTCCGTACTGATGTACCTGCAGGACTCTTCTGTTGTGAAACTGTGTCCCTGATGGTATTGTGATAAACCGTTGTCCTGTTCCTCAGCACTTCCACGAGGCGGCGTACCAGGCGGACGAGCGGCAGGACCTTCTGACGGCCATCAACCTGTTCCTGGACTGCAGCGTGGTGCTGCCTCCGTCCGACGTGGGCGGAGACGAGCTGCTGCACTCGGTCGCTCGCTTCCAGAGGGAAATGCTCCGGAAGAGAGAGGAGGAGAGCGGGAAGCTGCAGGAGAAGCAGAGCAGCGTCCAGCTGGATGAAGGTCCGTGCTCTTCAGCTGCTGCTTAAATATATTTATGTTATTAGCATTAAACATGAGAGAAGGATTACAACACTCTGTCAACCTAAGCCTTACAGTGGATCCTCATCAACATAAGGGAAGGTTTTTCTACATAATATCTTTGTATGTAAAGTTATTTTGTTCATACAAGCTAGAATTCTGAGATAAACATTTTATTTTGGAGAAAAAAGTATAATTTCAGATTCATTTTTAAATTATAAATATTTCGTGAAAATTTCAGATTTTTTGAAAAAAAAGTCAAAATTATTAAATAGTTTTTCTTATTTTCTTTCCTGAAAACATCTTAAAGGTGATGAAAAATGTTTAATTTTTTTCCTAAAAAATTAAGAATTCTGAGAATTTTGAAATTCATAACATTTCATGAATATAAGAAAACAATTCTTATATCTTTTTATTTCCTGAAAATGTCAGAATCTTAGGAAGAAAGATTTATATTTTTGTGGAAATCCCATAATATTAAGAAAAAAGTTGAAATTCAGATTTTTTTTGTGAGTTCTGAGAAAAAAAGGCAAAATTGTGAATTGTATTTCTTTTTTTTTTTCATGAAAAAAATCTGAATTGTGATGAAATGTAAATGTAAGATCAGATTTCTAAGGAAAGTGAAAATTCTGAATTGAAAAAAAATATTTCCTGAAAATCCCATAAAATTAAGAAAAAATTCGTAATTCTGCAAAAAAATGTCATAATTTCCAGACTCCCTGGTTCCCTCCAAAGTGGGCGAGGAGCCCCTGCGGCGATCGGGCCGTCTGTTTGGAGGTCTGATCAAAGACGTGAAGCGACGATACCCTCAGTATCTCAGCGACATCCGGGACGCTCTCAACGCTCAGTGCATGGCCGCCATCATCTTCATCTACTTCGCCTCGCTGTCGCCCGCCATCACCTTCGGAGGACTTCTGGGTGAGTCTCTGAAACACAGTGGTGTTTATTATGGTGGTGTTCACACTGCAGTACTTTTCCCACTTTAGTTCCGATATAGTTCCGAAATGTCGCGTTCACACCAAAAAGAGCCGGAACTAAAATTAGTTCATGAGAACCTTTTCACCCCCTTTTCCGTCAGTTTTCCGTCCCTGCTAGAGAGCAGGGACTTTCGTGGGAGAAAAAGGTTCCTATGTCTGATTGGCTGGGCGGAATGCAAACCACGCCCCGTAAAACTCCCAAAACGTTTTGTGAAGTTATTATCCTCACATTAGCATCCTCGCATTAGCATTATTAGCATTAGCATTAGCCCAGCGCACAAACGCAGAGAGACTAATTTATGGCAACACAAAAGAAAACATGGGAGCGGTGGAGATGAGGAGGTGTCGGCGTTCTGGCGATTTACTCAGAAGGCTTCAGTAGAAGCTGCTGGGAGTCCCAGCAGCTTCTACTGAAGCCTTCCCCAACTCCGGGGACTTCCGGCCGGGGACTCCGGGTGGCAGTATACGCCGTGAAGTGGTTTGCGGCCTGCCAGTAAACCCAAAGCAGAAGAAGAAGAAGTGACGTCAGCATCTCATTTGCCTAATCCTCCCTCAGGGAATTTATTCCGGTGTGAACGCGATCTGTACTAAGTTCATGAGAACTAAAGAGTTCTGATGAAATAAGTTCTGATGAAAAGTACTGCGGTGTGAAAGCGCCTAATGAGTCTCTGAAACACAGTGACGTGTATAATGAGTCTCTGAAACACAGTGACGTGTATAATGAGTCAGGTTTCACAGCGATGTTCTTCAGATGAATGTTTGCATGGAGCAGGTTTCACAGCGATGTTCTCCGCTCTGATTGCTCTCAGGTGAGAAGACGGAGGGTCTGATCGGGGTGTCGGAGCTGATCGTGGCGACGGCGCTGCAGGGCATCGTGTTCAGCGTCCTGGGAGCGCAGCCGCTGCTCATCATCGGCTTCTCTGGACCGCTGCTGGTGTTCGAGGAGGCTTTCTTCACCGTGAGATCACCTGACACACCTGACACACCTGCACACTGCACACCTGCACACCTGCACACTGCACACCTGCACACTGCACACTGCACACCTGCACACTGCACACTGCACACTGCACACCTGCACACTGCACACTGCACACCTGCACACTGCACACTGCACACTGCACACTGCACACTGCACACTGCACACTGCACACTGCACACCTGCCACACTGCACACTGCACACTGCACACTGCACACCTGCACACTGCACACTGCACACCTGCCACACTGCACACCTGCACACTGCACACTGCACACTGCACACTGCACACCTGCCACACTGCACACCTGCACACTGCACACTGCACACTGCACACTGCACACCTGCACACTGCACACTGCACACTGCACACTGCACACTGCACACCTGCACACTGCACACCTGCCACACTGCACACTGCACACCTGCCACACTGCACACCTGCACACCTGCACACCTGCCACACTGCACACTGCACACCTGCATCAGAACACTATCTCAAAGTCAAAGTCAACTTTATTGTCAGTCTTTCAGTTTGTGTGTACAGACAGAGAGATCCAAATACCGTTTCCCACAATCCAGAACACAAAAATACACATAACAAATATGTATAAAATATGTATATCCTATATATCCTATCTTTGACAAAGTTAATATCAACATGTCTCTTCAGTAACAGAGACTACATTAAATGGTCACTAACATAGCCAGAGATTTGAAAACAAAACCTATTTTTTTTCAAATTCTGAGAAAAATATTGAATTTATTTTTCCTCAAAATTGAGACACAATTTAGAATTCTGATTAAAAAAGTAAGAATTCTGAAAATGTCATAAATCGAGGAGGCATCTCTTGACAGATAAAAAGTAAGGATCCCAACTCGACTTGAAACCACTTGATGCATCTCCAAAGCCCAAAGATTACCACATATTCAATATAGTGTTAGCCACAAATCAATGAATCCCCCTTTGTTTCCAGAGCGCTGTTATTCTACGTCTGCACTTAATCCCACAGATTTCCTTGCTTGAACCAATCCAACCAAACCATCCAGATCTAACGTTATGTAACTGAGTTCTGGTTCAATACCCATAGACAATTTCCTTTACACACAAACTATGAGTTGCTCACAAAAACTGGGTTATAGTTTGTTAGGGTTCAAACTGATGGAGGGTATTATCACACGTTAGCCAAGCTGCTAGCTGCTCCTGAGCCCTGCGGTGTGTTTGTGTGCAGTTCTGTAAAGACAACGGCATCGAGTACCTGACGAGCCGGGTGTGGATCGGGTTCTGGCTGGTTCTCCTCGTCCTGCTCACCGTGGCCTTCGAGGGAAGCATCCTGGTGCGCTTCGTCTCCCGCTTCACTCAGGAGATCTTCTCCTTCCTCATCTCCCTCATCTTCATCTACGAGACCTTCGCCAAACTCATCAAGGTGAGTCAACTTCAAAGGTCAAAGTCAAATGTATTATCAGTCTTTCAGTTTGTGTGTACAGACAGAGAGATCCAAATACCGTTTCCCACAATCCCGAGGAATACAAAATGCAAAGTGTTAGAAAAATCTCACTGGTCCCCGGCTTGAGCTTCAATCTCAGGATCCATGTATTTTTGATCCTCTCAAGAATGGAAGTAGTCAAAAAACTGAAAATAATGTGTTGGTATTTTTCTCAAAATCTGACTTTTTCTCAAAAATTGGACTTTTTCTCAAAAATATGACTTTTTCTAAAAAATCTAAAAAATATGACTTTTTCTTTACAAGAGAGGGAGTTACACAGTCACAAGATGGAGGAATAGAAAGCAGTATTCAATGTTTACTTCAGATTAGCTCCACGTCAGAAATGAGCATGCTTGTCATATGTCTCTCTCCATAGAGGCTGAATCATCATGTTAATCACATAGCTATCATATGCCTCAAACAGTCCTGATGCTCTTCTAGGTAATCATACATCCTGTCATGTACAAAATACTGACTTTTTTTCCAAAATGTTGGCTTTTTTCTCAAGAGAATTCTAAAAATCTCAAAATTGTGACTTTTTCTCAAAAATCTGACTTTTTCTCAAAAATCACAAAATTCAGACTTTTTTGCAAAAATCTCAAAAGTCAGTTTTTCTCAAAAGTTCTGACTTTTTCTCAAACATTCTGACTTTTTCTCAAAAATTCTGACTTTCTCAAAAATTCTGACTTTTTCTCAAAATCTTAAAATTCTAACTTTCTAAAAATCTCCAAAATCTGAGTTGTTCTCCAAAATCAGATTTCTTCTAAAAATTATGACTTTTTTATTAAAATTATGATTTTTTCAAAAAATTATGACTTTTTCTAAAAATTATGACTTTTTCTCAAAATCTAAAAATTATGACTTTCTCTGAATACTTAAAAAATGTTAATAATCCCTGGTCCATGTATTTGTGATCCTCTCCAGAATGGAAGTAGCCATCACATACAGAGCATCAACTAGTTCCTGAACAGTGTCCTTCACATGAGTTTTAATTTTTCTTTGTTTTTTTCTAGATCTTCCAAGAGCATCCTCTCAAAAACTGTTACCATGGAAACATCACGGTGTCTCCGTCCCTGTGCAACTTCACCTCGGCCGCCGGGGATCCTGGGAAAGTTGTTGGAGAGCCGAACACCGCGCTGCTGTCCTTCGTTCTCATGGTGGGAACGTACTTCATCGCCTTCTACCTGCGCAAGTTCAAGAACAGCTCCTTCTTCCCTGGGACGGTCAGTAATAATAACAATAATAATAACTAGAGAATGCAATTCCTGAAGAAATTGCTAGTGGGAATGCTTTATGCTGAAAAGCTGACGAAAATGTAATGTGTAAGAAGAAAGTGAATAATTTAGATTGAAATGATACATGAACACTGGGGGCTTGAATGTGTGATGAGAGAAGAAAAGAAAGTAAAAGGCTTGGAAAAGCAGCAGAATATTTGAACTGCAAACTTTTGAACTAACTTGATGGCGAATGATCTGTTGCCATGCCAACGGCATTTGATGACATCCCATAATACGCTTAGATGCGTTGATGGCTGCATCGTTACCAAACCTGTGAAGTTTTGGGCCGTTTGGAGCATTTTCACTGAAGTTATAAGAAAAGCGTGTTTCATGGCGAGCCTTGTGTTACCATGGCAACTGCATTTGAAGAAATCTCCAAACTCTCACGTAGATGTCGTCATGGCTGGACTGTTAGCACACGTGAAGTTTGAGCACTTTTTGAACATTTTCATAGGAGTTATAGCGACATCGTGTTTTATGGCGAGGGATGCGTTTCCATGGAAACGACATATGGTGAGATCTCAGATTTGGCGTAGGGCTGTTGAGGCATGGACCGGTGATATACAAGTGAAGATTGGGGTACGATTGGACCGTGTCCATTGGACTTACAGCAACATCGTGTTTCATGGCGAGTTGTCTGTCGCCATGGCAACGGCATTTGATGACACCCCATAATACGCTTAGATGCGTTGATGGCTGCATCGTTACCAAACCTGTGAAGTTTTGGGCTGTTTGGAGTATTTTCACTGAAGTTATGATAAAACCATGTTTCAAGGCGAGCATTGTGTTGCCATGGCAACGGCATTTGAAGAAATCTCAAAACTGTCCCGTAGATGTCTTCACGGCTGGACTGTTAGCACACATGTGAAGTTTGAGCACTTTTTGAACATTTTCATAGGAGTTATACATTACATTAGGAGGTTACATTACTCTCTCTCTTCTCTTGATCGCCCTCTCTCTTCTCTTGATCACCCTCTTGATCTTCGGCATATGATGACACCCCATAATTGACGTAGAGCTGTGGAGGGCAGGACCATTAACCTTTATCTGAAGTCTGCTGCTCTGACTGCTGTCAGTTGGAGTGATGACATCATCGTGTTCCATTACACAGGTGTTTATAGTTGAGCTAACGAGCTCTGTAGAGATCAAAGGTTTGCATTGTTCTGAATGAGAGATGAACCTCTTACATGTGAACGTTTTGTGGAAGAACCACAACAGATATCTGTGAAATTTCAAAACGTGAAGCATCTCAAGGACCTTGAGTATCTGAAGTGTAATTTTTGTGTACTTTCGGGTTAATAATGTGGCCTTTTTGGCAGTTTAACTAAAGGTGTGCGGCTGCTGCTGTGAGGAAATATTAGCCTGAAATTACAATGGGTTTTAATGTTGAACGTTTTTGTCACTTCATGCCCTCAAGAGGCATTTTGTTTAATTATTTTTGCTTAATTATTTGTCATTTTTCAAGCGACGAGATGTTTTCCTACGTTTCTCATGAAAAATTATGTCTCAGGAATGTAGGGTTTGGGAATTATGGCAGTTTTAAAAAAATATATGAAGGCACATTTCAAGATTTCCTACCCTCTAGCTGTGACATCACGCACTCTAACTTAATGAGCTGCGCAATGTTGAAGTTAAAATGTTAAAAATGTGATGAATTATGGGATGTATCTCTGGAATTATGAAAGTTATGAATGAGAAAAGTAATAGCGCCCGATTCCCGACCGAGCTGAACGTTTTGATGTTCGAACGGAGTTTCTGCGATGTTGAATGTGGGAGGAGAAGACGGACAAAATAAGCAGGCGGAATAATAAACTTTTATATGCTTTTATAAGCATATCATAGCATATTTCCCACAATCCCAATACAAAATACAAATATATATAAAAATATGTATAAAATATGTATATCCTATACACAATTAACAAACACATTTATTCATATGCACACATTAAGACCTAAATAAAAGCACAACAATTAATATATACAAAATAACAGTCACTTCAAAATGTGTGAAAAACACTTTATTAATGTTAGTAAGTGGAGAGCTGTGCAGATTTAAAAGAGTCTTGTGGAGCAGAAATGTGCAACGGGTTGTTTTTCTACATGTTTCAGCTCCGTAGGATCATCGGAGACTTCGGGGTCCCCATCGCGATCCTCATCATGGTGCTGGTGGACTACAGCGTGGAGGACACCTACACTCAGGTGAGACACACTTTGAAGGTCCCCTATCACGCAAAATCCACTTCTTCATGTCTCCTCTACCTCAACATGTGTCCCCTCTGTGTAAAGAGACTCTCTCTCTACACAGAGGGGACACATGTCTCTTCTACCTCAACATGTGTCCCCTCTGTGTAAAGAGACTCTCTCTCTACACAGAGGGGACACATGTCTCTTCTACATCAACATGTGTCCCCTCTGTGTAAAGAGAAAATGAGCTGATCAGATTTTGGCCACTTGATGATGTCATAAGGATGTTTTGTCTTGTGTAACCATTAGCCAATCAGCAACCAAGGTAACCCCCCCCCCCCCCTTATCACCTGAATCTCCTCCTAGAGCACCATTGAGTTCTTTGTAACCAAATGTCTCTCAGAGGGGCGTGGGGAGGGGCTCCTTATTTTCATCTAAAGTAACAGACAGAGAATCAGCACTTTGGAAACAGGGCTGAAACAGAGGGGATTATGGGTAATGCTGCAATGATCTGTTTGGTGTTTCAGCCAATCAGAGACAGGCTCTGGATATATCTGAGACCTGTGATATACTGATGAGAAACAGTATAACACCTGAGTGCGTCCTGTGTTGACACAACACCCTGACAGACTTTACCTTCCCCTCTTCCTATTGGCCGGCAGAAACTGAACGTGCCCAGTGGATTCTCCGTGTCCAGTCCGGAGAAGCGCGGTTGGCTGATCTCTCCGATGGGCTCGGACGGGCAGTTTCCTGTTTGGATGATGGCCGCCAGCATCCTGCCCGCCATCCTCGTCTTCATCCTCATCTTCATGGAGTCCCAGATCACAGCGTAAAGCATCTAGTGTTCGTCCTCAGAGCGTCTTTTTCTGACCGCCAGCGTCTTTTCAATTGTGTCGATCGAGAAAAAGAGCTGCAACTCTCAACTTTTCAGAAAAGGGCAATTGACAATACTCAGTAGTGGGAAGTAACTAAGTACATTTACTGAAGGACTGTACTTAAAGGTCCCATGTCATGGCCATTTCTACTGATCATATTTCCATTGTTGAGGTCTACTAGAATAGATTCACATTGTTCAATGTTCCAAACTCACATTGGTTTCTCATACAGCATCTCTGTATAGTCTGTGTATTCACTCTCTGTCCTACACGGCTTGTTGGAGCTCCTGCCCCCCCCTCCCTGTGAGCCCAGTGGCCGTCTGCGAGACAGCGAAACCCAACCCGAAACCAGCCCGAGCACACACACACACACACACACCCGCAGCGAGGCTGTGAGTCTGTGTGTGCTCACACACAGACTCACAGCCTCGCTGCGTCCCGCCGTCTCAGGGAGGAGAAATCGGCGGAGCTTCAGCTGAGAAAAGATTGAGTGTGTGTGTGTGTAACGTAACGGCTCCACGGACGTAACTATACCCAAGAAGTAAACAATGTAAAAAGAGAAATGTCCAACGAGGCGTTCTGGGGCAGCATAGACAGGTCTTCTCTGTGTTAGAGTTTTACTCTCTACAGGGTGCACTTTGAGGGTTTGTGACTCTGCAGACCGTTTACATGCAGAAGCTACAGAACACAAGGGGACGGGTAAGAACCAGAAGAGCATGACATGGGACCTTTAAGTACAATTTTGAGGGACTTGTATTTCATGATCTGCTACTGTGTACTTCTACTCCACTACAGTTCAGAGGTACATGGTGTACTTCTTCTCCACTACATGTATTAATACCTTTAGTTACTTTACAGATGTGGATGAATGATGTGAAATATAATCAAGTGTTAAATCAGACTTGAGTTCCACCTGGAGTAAATCCACAAGCTACCCTGCAGTATACAAAGTCATTCAAACTAGCTGCACCTTTACCAGCTTTGAGAACAGGTACAACAAGTACAAGATCTGAGTACTTCTACTTTCACTCGAGTACCAGACCGTAGTACTTAGTACACAGTAGCACAAACAGCTAATATACATCAGCAGTGATGCGTTGTTAAGATAGTCAGTCAGTCCAAATGGACGAGACTTGGGAACCGAAGGATCGCAGATTGAAGTTCTGGTTCTGACAGGGTTCAGAGTGTGGACTGGTTCTGTGAGAGGAACCAGTTCAGAGTGTGGACTGGTTCTGTGAGAGGAACCAGTTCAGAGTGTGGACTGGTTCTGTGAGAGGAACCAGTTCAGAGTGTGGACTGGTTCTGTGAGAGGAACCAGTTCAGAGTGTGGACTGGTTCTGTGAGAGGAACCAGTTCAGAGTGTGGACTGGTTCTGTGAGAGGAACCAGTTCATTACAATTCTAAAATCGATTTCCTTCCAGAAAAAGACACTCTGTGCACACGGCCTTATTGTTGTGACCCAGAACCACCAAAGAGAGTTCACATTGTGTTTCCTGTGTGTGTGTCAGGCTGATTGTCAGTAAGAAGGAGCGGATGCTGGTGAAGGGCACTGGTTTCCACCTGGACCTGCTGATCATCGTGGTGGTGGGGGGGGGTCTCGGCTCTGTTCGGTCTGCCCTGGCTGTCTGCAGCCACCGTGCGCTCCGTCACACACACCAACGCCCTCACCGTGATGAGCAAGGCCGTGGCGCCCGGAGACAAGCCGCGCATACAGGAAGTGAAGGAGCAGAGGCTGACGGGCTTCCTGGTGGCCGTGCTAGTGGGTACGTGGAGGACTACAACCTGGGGACCAGATGAGGGTTTATATCAGGGGTGTCCAAACTACGGCCTGGGGGCCAAATGCGGCCCGCGAGAGATTTTGAAACGGCCCTCAGCAGATTCAGAGAGTCTAATGGAGGATGGCCCACAAAGGAAACTTAAATATAGATGAAAACAGATATTACACAGTATTCATGTGTTAAACTAATTCAGTTAATTCAAGTTGAAAACATTTTCTATCAAATCTAAGTTAATATCTTCCTATTTCCTCTTATGATAATTCATCTGAGGCTTCTGTTTAAAGGAATGAGCTGCTGACAATATATATATACGTATATTATACGTGGCTCTCGGTGAAACCGTTTGGACCCCCGGGGTAGATGGAGGCTGTCGTGGCTTCCTCCCTTGTTTTTCTATCAAGCCACTAGACGCCTTAAACACACATGTTTAACTCGTTTCCTTTCCTTTATATTTCTCACAGTTGAAGAGTTGCTTGGCCTCCGATGGTTTGGATGATATTATGCGATGTGTTTGCTCACAATAAAATAACAAACTTTTACACATGCCACAAAGAAAAGAGGCCTTTACAATGTTCAGAACAAAGAGGCAAAACTCAAATCAAATGACAAACTACTTAGGTATTCTTTCTTTCTTTGATAAGGCTTATATAACTTGATAACTTAAAGGTTAGTTGAACGGTTAAAAACTGTTCCTCGACGGTGTCTTTCTGACAGGTGGCCTCTCTCTTTAGAGGAGGCGCCGTGCGAACTGTAGTCTTTTATAGTCTGGTGACTACAGACGTCTCCATTAGGTGGCCTTTCTTATGAAGACTAAATACTGGCTCTAACAGAGGAGGAAATGAGCTCATTGCTAACAGGAAGAGAGCAGGTCCTTCCTTCAGGCTGGTAGAGCCCCACACAAACAACAACAAAGACTTTAACACATCTGTTGTGCAATAACACTAAAGTGCAATATATACAGTATATACAGCTTTATAATTGATTTGTACTGCCTGCTATCTCATAGTTAGACAATTCCACTCCTGTAACCCAGTCTGTCATACCTGAGCAATATATACTTTCATTTCACTACTGCTACCTGGCTGCTATCACACTACTTCTACTTCTACACTTATTCATATCAAAATACAGCTACTGTACTTTAGGGTACTTTTTGTGAATAGTAATTTGTGTAATTTCTATCTCTAATATTTTGCCTCTTTACTTTGAACCCCCTCAGGTCTGTCCATCGTGATCGGGGAGGTTCTGCGTCAGATCCCTCTGGCGGTTCTGTTCGGGATCTTCCTCTACATGGGTGTGATGTCTCTGAACGGGATCCAGCTCACTGAGCGGCTCATCCTGCTGTTCATGCCCCCGAAGTACCACCCCGACCAGAACTACGTCCGCAAGGTGAGTCCTGCCCCCACCGGGCATGAACACCATCCACAGTGTAGTGCATAGTGCCGCGCACATATACTATCAGGATGTTGCTGATGTGGAGCGGAGTGATACTGAGTACTAGTATGTGTATGTAAGCCCGCATCTAGAAGTATGTACTAGCTGAAGACCTGTTAGGTCAATACAGTTGTCTCGACTTGATTTCATAGTGGTGTAGTGATCACTGATTCATACACTGGGGTTACATAATTCAATCCAGGAACTACAGGTTGGGGGTATTGTTTCGCACGGACACATATCTTGACGGTACCTCCGGGGTACCTACTGTGTGTGTGTGTCTCTTGCACTTTCTCTTAGTCTTCTCGGCTCGACCCGACAGCATGTGCATTTCTGCTGCTCAATAAAGCCAGATTTGCACCTCCGATGCACCGCCTCCGTCTCCCTTCTCTCGGCACTACATTGGTGACCCTGACATAAGTCTCGCGAAGGATCCGAGACTGAATCGAACACGGCAAAAAGCGCAGCTTTTCTCGAAATGCCGGGGATTTTTGGAGACCTCCGTGGCTGCCTCGTGCGCTCGGACTGTGGCTCGGTGCGCCCCACGGAATGGACGCGGACGTCGCTCGCCATTTCCACGGCTTTTCGGCACTAGGGGACAGCAAGCCTTCCATGGGGCCGGTACGCGACCGTGCCGGGTTTGTTCGGGACATGCGGCTGCATGTCCGGCCAGCGACTGACGGCTGCCGAGAACGGCTAGCCACGACTGCTAACGGCTAGCAGCTGGCAACAGCTGACGATGTCTAGCAGCTACCAGCGGCTATCGACATCCGACTGTTTTTTTTTTGTTTTTTTTGTGGTGCCTGAGAGGAGGTTCGACCATGGCTGGTCGGCCTCGTGTGGACCCTCTCGCTGTTTCGCCACCTCGACGGCGGCTTCGGACGTCACATACGCCTGCTGCGGCCCGTGGCGCGCTTCTGGACCCCGTCTCGCCTCTTCCCTCGCCTCGGCGGTTTCGATCGTCGCCCATGCCTTCATCGGCCCGCGGGTGGCGCGCTTCGGGACCCTGCCTGGCCTCTCCTCTAACCGCGGCTCACGGTTCGCCTCGACGGCGCCCCGTCTGGCCTCTCCCCTGTCCACGTCTCCCTCCTCCCGGGGACACGGCTCCTTCCTCCCGAGGACTTCGTGCCCGCCGCCGCTGTGCCTTCGCCTGCGGCCGGGCAGCGCTCCTCCCTGATGGGGACCTCCGGGTTTTTCACGCCCGTCCCCACGTCGCAACACAGCGACCCTGCTTTCTGCGGCCCCCTGACGACGGCCCGTTCCGGCCCGCCCCCCACCCTCCGGTGGGGATGCCCTCGCCCTCGTTGGGGCCCCTACCTTCTTCTGCGGCCCCCTGACGACGGCCCGTTCCGGCCCGCCCCCCGCCCTCCGGTGGGGTTGCCCTCGCCCTCGTTGGGGCCCCTACCCTCTCCTGTGGCCCCCTTCCGACGGCCCGTTCCATGGCCCGCCCTCCTCGGCCCCTGTGATGCTTCCTCCGGGACGTGGGGATTGTGTCCATGGTTGAATTCTGGGGGGGCTTGTGTAGTGATCACTGATTCATACACTGGGGTTACATAATTCAATCCAGGAACTACAGGTTGGGGGTATTGTTTCGCACGGACACATATCTTGACGGTACCTCCGGGGTACCTACTGTGTGTGTGTCTCTTGCACTTTCTCTTAGTCTTCTCGGCTCGACCCGACAGCATGTGTATTTCTGCTGCTCAATAAAGCCAGATTTGCACCTCCGATGCACCGCCTCCGTCTCCCTTCTCTCGGCACTACAGTGGTTCGTATGAACTGGACTTTACAGGGATCTTTTCTTGGACTCAAAGGAACCACCAAGTTTCAAGTCTTCATCATCATGAGCTCAGCAGCTACAGTGTAGATATGGCAATGAAAGACTGAAGTCCTCCTCCAACAGAGCAACATGAATATATATAGGACATAGAACAAACAGATACAATAGTGCAAGAGAATGTTTTGAGATGTGCAAGTTAATACAAATAACATTGAAATAGTTCAAGAAGAGTCTATATACCCAAGTAAATGGAATATGATATATTAGATAAATAATTAGCAAACAGATTAATGTTTATGGATGTTCAGTTTCGGTGTTTAAGTCCATGTCAGTTGTGCAAATGTTTCTCCATGAAAGGCCCATCTGATACTGATTGTTCCGTCTCAGGTGCGCACGTTGAGGATGCACCTGTTCACCGTGGTGGAGCTCATCTGTCTGTCTCTCCTGTGGGTCGTCATGGCGACCTCTGCGGCGCTGGCCTTCCCCTTCATGTTGCTGCTGACCATCCCAGTGAGGATGCTGCTGCTGCCGCGCATCTTCACCCGCAGAGAGCTGCAGAGCGTGAGTACACCTGCATCTGCATGCTAACAATGCTAACACAACACTCTCTCACCTGGTACTACTAACTGTTAGCTGGTAACTGTTAGCTGGTAACTGTTAGCTATCAACTGTTAGCTATCAACTGCACGCTAACAATGCTAACACAACCCTCTCTCACCTGGTAACAGTTATCATCTAACCAACCCAGTCTCACGGCATTTTGTGTTATAGTCACGACATGTAATCTATTGATTCGTGTTCACCAACACGATTTTCCCCTTTTTTTCGTGTCACACGAAATGATTTTAAGAGCAATGCATTTCTATTGGTAGCATGTTTCGTGCCTGCACCACGTCTTTTTGTCCGGTCGGGTCTTGGAAGACCGGAAGCTGTGAGGTTCATAAAAACATGTTCTTACTCAATGTCAAGCCACGATTATTGTTTTCATTTTAAATCGTATAATGTTGGACTTTTTTTGCCGTCTGTGAGGAAAAGAAATGTCTCAGAGCCTCTGGATACTGACATCTGTATTTCTTAAATATTTTTTTCCTTCTAATTTGTTATTCTTTTCTAAATAACACACTGTTATTTACTCAACAATAACACACTGTTATTTACTCAACAATAACACACTGTTATTTACTCAACAATAACACACAATTATCCTTGTTTTTATTTATTTGTTTAATTCTATAATCTCTGGATTTTTTTGCCGTCCGTCAGGAACTGAATTTCAAAATAAAATAACAGGAAACAGACGTAGGCCTATAAGGGACATTTCGAGCATCATTGCGATACACAGCCACTGAACTGATTACCCAAGATCCTCAGCTATGGTTTAAGCTCGGTGATTGGATGTTTTAGCCGCAATGCACGTTGGGATATGGTGTTAATGCGATATGAAATATGAAAAACATTTCGGAGTTTAGGATGGCCGAAGACACTACACTACCCATAATCCCCAGCTATCGTTTGGGACTACAGTCCCCGTGATCAGCCCCCCCCCTCCCCCAGAACTACGCATGCTGGCTATTGTGTTTCGCAAAATGTTCTATGGGACGTCTCTGCTGGGAACGTTTTCGTTGTTCCCACAATTAGAAGTTGCCAGTATTAAACACATTGGTGTTATCAAATGTAAAACATATAATTAATAAATGGGTGAAAATCGCTTGTGTACATAATGCGCAGCATTAATATATACCCACATGACAGCTCATTGTTACTTTGTCATTCTACTCCACTACAATTCAGAGGTTAACCTGGTATTTGTACTCCACTACATTTATTTTAGTTACTTTGCAGATTCTGATGAATGATGTGAAATATAAACAACCCTTAAATCAGACTTTAGTTACACCTGAGTAAAATGCAGTGAAGGTGATTGTCAAGTGCCAACAATCAGGAGAGATATTTGATAGTGGGTGCTTGAGAAGACTAAACATTTATCTGCAGATCCCTATAAAGTATATTCATTACTCGTTATTCTCTACTAATAGTTCATCAAAAACTGTATATAATGGCTATTTTGCATATCCCTTTCAAGATTTCATGATTTTCTAAGGTTTATTGACATATCATATACACAACTACGGTGTAGTTATGCAATGAATGAAAAACTTGGGTCACAGGTTCCTCAACAGAGCATTACAAGACATCTATCAATATGTGTGTACCTCCACCATTACACTGTCATATTCTGCACATTTCTTATTCTATCTACAAACGTCTTATAAGAGTATAATACATATGTATAATATCAGTTAAAATAAGTGCTTAAACATAGTTAACATTGCAGGAAAGCAATATATTAGACGTTAAGTACTTTGTCAGGCTTAATATTTATCTGTAGATACAAATGTCACTGTGTGTGCTGTGTGCTCTGCATGTGTGACCATCAGAGAGGGTTTCATCCCTCCATATTCATCTTCTATACCCCCAAAGCTTTTTTCTTATTTAAGAAGACCTTAACCTAAAGTATTATTTAATGTTTTAATAAAGGTTAATTAGTTTGTCTGTTTTGCACATCCTCATATTAATATCTTTGTACATCCGGCACTAAACTGTTTGATTGTAGAGATCACTTACAGTATCTTCTTGATTTGTTATATTCTATATTTCTATCACTGACCTTCTACTTTCCCCCTATGAAAGTATGTAACGTGCATTAACCACTAGGCGGTGCACACAAGGTACACACAGCCATAATAACTTTGTATTATTAGTGTAGGACACATCTGAAGATGTATAGTTATTGTACAGACATTATACGATTTAAAATGAAAACAATAATCGTGTCTTGACATTGAGTAAGAACATGTTTTTATGAACCACACAGCTTCCGGTCTTCCAAGACCCGACCCGAGAAAAGGACGTGTTGCAGGCACGAAACATGCTACCAATAGAAATGCATTGCTTATAAAATCGTTCTGTGTGACACGAAAAAAAGGTGAAAATCATGTTGGTGAACCCGAATCAATAGATTACATGTAGTGACTATAACACGAAATGCGAGACTGGGTTGGTTAGATGATAACTGTTAGCTGGTGACTGTTAGCTGGTGACTGTTAGATGGTGACTGTTAGCTGGTGACTGTTAGCTGGTGACTGTTAGATGATGACTGTTAGCTGGTGACTGTTAGCTGGTGACTGTTAGCTGGTGACTGTTAACTGGTGACTGTTAGATGGTGACTGTTAGCTGGTGACTGTTAGCTGGTGACTGTTAGCTGGTGACTGTTAACTGGTGACTGTTAACTGGTGACTGTTAGATGGTGACTGTTAGATGGTGACTGTTAGCTGGTGACTGTTAGCTGGTGACTGTTAGCTGGTGACTGTTAACTGGTGACTGTTAGATGGTGACTGTTAGATGGTGACTGTTAGCTGGTGACTGTTAGCTGGTGACTGTTAGCTGGTGACTGTTAGCTGGTGACTGTTAACTGGTGACTGTTAGATGGTGACTGTTAGCTGGTGACTGTTAGCTGGTGACTGTTAGCTGATTTTAATATGATCTCCTGTCTGACCTCTGACTTCTGACCTGCAGCTGGATGCTGATGACGCGGAGCCTCACCTGGAGGAGAAGGAGGGCCAGGACGAGCACTCTCAGCTGCAGATGCCTGTGTGATCTGTCGTTAGCATTTAGTTAGCATATTGTTAGCATTTCTCTCATGTATCCTGCAGCAGTGTGGCAGCTGGAAACCATGTTTTTATAAATGTGACTGTATTTTCTGCTTGTTTCTGTCTGACTGCCTGACCTGGGATCTGATCTGTGCAACACTATAGGGGGGATTCACAGAGGAGTGATGCTTCACTACAGATGTGTGTTAATTATATTACAGCACAAACACATAAATAACGCTCTGCAGCTGTTTTCCTCATGTATTTTCAAAAATGGATTTAAGATAACAGTTCCCACCAACTCTCTGAAGATGATAATCATGTCTCCATGAAGGTGTATTTCCCTCTCAGGACCCCTCAGTGAACCCCCTGAGTGTTTCACAGATCACACTAACTGGAAAATGCTCTCTGTTGGTACTCTGTCTTCCTGTCTGTTGGTTTCAGATTCTATCAATAAATGCATATTTTATCTTTAACAGTGTGATTTACTTGTCCTCCCGACACTCCATGTAAATCCTGAGGTTTGACTTTAACATGTTTTAATATTTCATGTGAACCACGATCACACATTATCACTCTTCATTGTCACGGCTTTACTTTTAGTTGAACACAGGCCAACTTAAACAACATTTCTATTTATAATAACAGTGTATTATGGGTGTAATAACAGTGTATTATGGGTATAATAACAGTGTATTATGGGTATAATAACAGTGTATTATGGGTATAATAACAGTGTAATATGGGTATAATAACACTGTGTTATGGGTATAATAACAGTGTAATATGGGTATAATAACACTGTGTTATGGGTATAATAACAGTGTAATATGGGTATAATAACAGTGTAATATGGGTATAATGACAGTGTATTATGGGTATAATAACAGTGTATTATGGGTATAATAACAGTGTAATATGGGTATAATGACAGTGTATTATGGGTATAATAACAGTGTATTATGGGTATAATAACAGTGTATTATGGGTGTAATAACAGTGTATTATGGGTGTAATAACAGTGTATTATGGGTATAATAACAGTGTATTATGGGTATAATAATAACAGTGTATTATGGGTATAATAACAGTGTATTATGGGTATAATAATAACACTGTATTAGGGTATAAACCAGTGTATATGGGTATAATAACACTGTATTATGGGTATAATAACAGTGTAATATGGGTATAATAACACTGTATATGGGTATAATAACAGTGTAATATGGGTATAATACAGTGTAATATGGGTAATAATAACGTGGTATTATGGGTATAATAACACTGTATTATGGGTATATAACAGTGTATTATGGGTATAATAACAGTGTAATATGGGTGTAATAACAGTGTATTATGGGTATAATAACAGTGTATTATGGGTATAATAACCGTGTATTATGGGTATAATAAACAGTGTAATATGGTGTAATAACAGTGTATTATGGGTATAATAACACTGTATTATGGGTATAATAACAGTGTATTATGGGTATAATAACAGTGTATTATGGGTATAATAACAGTGTAATATGGGTGTAATAACAGTGTATTATGGGTATAATAACAGTGTATTATGGGTATAATAACAGTGTAATATGGGTATAATAACAGTGTATTATGGGTATAATAACAGTGTAATATGGGTATAATAACAGTGTAATATGGGTATAATAACAGTGTATTATGGGTATAATAACAGTGTAATATGGGTATAATAACAGTGTAATATGGGTATAATAACAGTGTAAAATGGGTATAATAACAGTGTATTATGGGTGTAATAACAGTGTATTATGGGTATAATAACAGTGTATTATGGGTATAATAACAGTGTAATATGGGTATAATAACAGTGTATTATGGGTATAATAACAGTGTAATATGGGTATAATAACAGTGTAATATGGGTATAATAACAGTGTAAAATGGGTATAATAACAGTGTATTATGGGTATAATAACAGTGTAATATGGGTGTAATAACAGTGTATTATGGGTATAATAACAGTGTATTATGGGTATAATAACAGTGTAATATGGGTATAATAACAGTGTATTATGGGTATAATAACAGTGTAATATGGGTATAATAACAGTGTAATATGGGTATAATAACAGTGTAAAATGGGTATAATAACAGTGTATTATGGGTATAATAACAGTGTATTATGGGTATAATAACAGTGTATTATGGGTATAATAACAGTGTATTATGGGTATAATAACAGTGTATTATGAGTATAATAACAGTGTATTATGGTATAATAACAGTGTATTATGGGTATAATAACAGTGTATTATGGGTATAATAACAGTGTATTATGAGTATAATAACAGTGTATTATGGGTATAATAACAGTGTATTATGGGTATAATAACAGTGTATTATGGGTATAATAACAGTGTATTATGGGTATAATACAGTGTATTATGAGTATAATAAGCAGGTGTATTATGGGTATAATAACAGTGTATTATGGGTATATATAACAGTGTATTATGGGTATAATAACAGTGTATTATGAGTATATAACAGTGTATTATGGGTATAATAACAGTGTAATATGGGTTATCACACACATGTAAGTTACTTTAGTTTAATCATTGGTGCGGTTACTGTCATTATAATGTTAGATGAATACAAATGCCTTATGACTGTGAAGTGTTTTACCTGTCTGTCCCCCCACCTCTCACCTGGTTGTCATGGCGACTGCTCCTCCCCGTCACAATGCGTCCATCGGAGCGTCTCGCTGAAACCTGAAGCAGGTGGAGGCGGCTCCAGGTCACCTGAGACCGGCTGCTGAATGTTTGATGGAGGCCAGAAATCCTCCCACCGTCACACCTGAGGACGACAGAGAGGACAGGTAGACTGCAGGACTGGAGGACGACAGGTAGACTGTACAGGTAGACAGTAGGACAGGTAGACTGCAGGACAGGTATACTATAGGACAGGTAGACTGTACAGGTAGACCGTAGGACAGGTAGATTGTACAGGTAGACTGTAGGACAGGTAGACTGTACAGGTAGACAGTCGGACAGGTGGACTGTAGGACAGGTAGACTGCAGGACAGGTATACTATAGGACAGGTAGACTGTAGGACAGTAGACTGTAGGACAGGTAGACTGCAGGACAGGTAGTCTGTAGGACAGGTAGACTGTACAGGTAGACTGTCGGACAGGTAGACTCTAGGACAGGTAGACTGTACGACAGGAGGACAGGTAGTCTGTAGGACAGGTAGACTGTACGACAGGTAGGCTGTACGACAGGTAGACTGTACGACAGGTAGACTGTACGACAGGTAGAGGCTTCATCAGGACGCTCAAACAGCCAGGTAAGATGGTATCATGTTTTTTATGCGTTTGGATTTACCTTCCATAACATGTGTTATGTCTGTGTCTGCAGATTTCTACTACTGGCATTAGCCTCACTTGCATATTTAAACACCTGTCAGAAAATGTGTGATATAAAAAATGATAGTGTCAAAGTCAGTAATGAAGGGGGGGTGTTTCATGGGATATCTGTTGGTTGAATATTGTACCTGCTTCACCTGCTGTGTAGCTTTCAGCCTTTATTTCTCTGTCCAATGACTCATCATAAACGAGGAGAGAAATATTTGAAATATTCAACAAAATGTTCAACATCCATTTCTTCAAAAAAGAGTATCGACATGTTTTATCTTGTTATCCTCCGGCCGTGTCAGCTCAGGTGTGTTTGTTTTGCTCACCTGAGACAGTTGCTGCTGCAGGATGTTGACAGCAGGCAGCGGACCCTGTCCACCTCCGGAGAGTCTCTGTACCAGATCCTGGGTCTGCAGAAGGGCTGCGGCCATGACGACATCAAGAAGTCCTACAGGTGAGGCCCTAAAAGGTGTCTAAATGAGACGACTAAACGTAATCACGGCCAACATTAGCCCTCGTTGCTTAGCGGTGGTGACGTGAAGTCATGTGACCGTGCTGTAGTTCCTTTATAGCCCAACATTAGCCACATTTAGCTTAGCGGTGGTGACGTGAAGTCATGTGACCGTGCTGTAGTTCCTTTATAGCCCAACATTAGCCGCCTTTAGCTTAGCGGTGGTGACGTGAAGTCATGTGACCGTGCTGTAGTTCCTTTATAGCCCAACATTAGCCTCCTTTAGCTTAGCGGTGGGACCTGAAGTCATGTGACCGTGCTGTAGTTCCTTTATAGCCCAACATTAGCCTCCTTTAGTTTAGCGGTGGTGATGTGAAGTCATGTGACCGTGCTGGAGTTCCTTTATAGCCCAACATTAGCCACCTTTAGCTTAGCGGTGGTGACGTGAAGTCATGTGACCGTGCTGTAGTTCCTTTATAGCCCAACATTAGCCTCCTTTAGCTTAGCGGTGGTGGTGACGTGAAGTCATGTGACCGTGCGTGTAGTTCCTTTATAGCCCAACATTAGCCACCTTTAGCTTAGCGGTGGTGACGTGAAGTCATGTGATCGTGCTGTAGTTCCTTCACACTGTGTGTTCCCCCAACAGGAAGCTGGCGCTGCGGTTCCACCCTGATAAGAACCGGAGAACCCTGAGGCGGCGGAGAAGTTCAAGG